CCCGCAAGTGTGGCCGGCGGCACAAGTGCGCTGCCATATCTCCCCAGCAGCCATGCATGAATCAGTGACACTCGGACCTTCTTCCAGTAGCAGGGAGGGCTAAACATCCCAGCTCCTTCCTCTCTGTCACAGCAGGCCTACGAGACATGAGGAAGTGCTGCAGCCAATGTACACATGCAGAGGAGGCCTCAAATTTTCAAAAAAACATTGGCTCACTGAGTGTCTGCTACACAGCACATTCACACAAGTTTGCTGACCCACACTGTTCCCAGGAGAGGAGCCGAGGAGCAGGCTGCTGTTACCAAATCCATTCATGCAGGCTGCTCCAGACATCTTTCTTCCTAAGGGACTTTCACACACTAAGGATGCTGCACAGTCTCCAGAAAAAGAGGTAGCTAAAAGCCAGGCCACAAAATGCACAAACAGTTTTTGCTAAACTGTAGGTTTGACAACTTTGATTTAAATCTTCACTTCCCTTTGAACAGAATAGAAGGAACAAAGAATGGGTGCAGGGGAAGAAAGAAAAAAAGACCTAGAGGAAAAGAAACAAAGAAAAACACGGTGGGAATTTAATAAGTCCACTGATATAAAGGGATGTTGCCAACACAGGGCTTAAGGGCCCATGCAAGCCTCAGTCCACCATCCTACCCCCAAAACCAAGAACAAAATCTGCTCTAGGTTGGAAACCCCCACAAGATATCTTGATTTCAAGCAAATGAATCCATTCGCAGGTAGCTATGACTCCGAGAGAGTAACACACAGATGGTTTTAAGAGCCTAGAGCAAAACTGGAGACTGCGGTCCATTATACATTAGAATGTAACACAGCATCTCTCACCAACCAGTGGCACAGGGCAAGCTGGCATGCTTGGAGTTGTACTGTCTTCACAGTAGATGGTTCCACTGCAGAGAACATTACTAGCACCTCTAAGCCAGTTCACCCACCGTTTAGAAAGGTGGGAATAATTATGAAAGAACAAAAGAAAGTAAGGTTTAAAACAAGACGGTAGTGAAAAAATAGGGACAGAAATGTGAATTTCAGTAGGAACCTCAAGACACACAAAGCGCACACTCCATTAGGTACAAAAAAAGGCCTTCAAAAATAGAGGAAAAATGATCACTTACCTTTCAAAAGGGGCTGGAAAGTTGGAATTTCCTGCAGTTTTATGACATCTGGGTCATTGCTGACATTCCGGGAGGATTGCGTTCCTGGGGCTACCACCACAATGTCATCCATTTTTGCTCGCTGCTTGGCTGGCGATGGAGATGCTGGAAGGGTACGGGGGAAGGAGGGAACGATCAAATTAGTAAGCAGATTCCATCAGAATTTAACCCTAAGCGAATGTCACCATGTTTAACATAGTAGAGATACATTTTCTATAGTATGAACACATCTCTGAGATCGCTCAAGGACGGTACTCTCCCTTCACACCCTCTCCCTGTAAATCTACTAGGTTCAGCAATTTTTTTTCAAAATCAGGTAACAGCTGATGAAAGACATCTTGCCTTCTCACTCCAGGGATAATCCAACATGCTTTTGTTTTAACGATGAAGGTAAAAACACCCAACACTGTGTATCTGTCAGCGTCTCACCGCAGTAAGGCTCTTTTATATTATTAGACAGGAAAGGTCCGGTTCCACAGCTGGACTTCAAGGACCGTTGGGACACTGGTTTCAGCACTGCACATCCCTCGCTGTCCCTCACAGGCCGATATTCAGAGGAAGCACCTGCACCACCGACGCCCTCCTCAGCCCGGCGCCCTGCTCCCTCCCTCCCGCGCCCCGCCAGCGGGAGAGGGGCCCTGGCCGGGGCTCTGGGCGCACCCACCGCGCCGGCTCTGCCCCCCGACCCCCCGACC